TTGGAACGTGGCGCCTTGAGGACACATTGTGCTGCTTCGGGGTGAAAGGGACCTGCAGAGCACGCGGCTCTCACTAAGCGCGGGGCGAAAAGACGCACGATGTGCCATTGTAGGTCTTGGCTGGTCGCCAAAGCATTTCGCTACCTTCTCATCATTGCTTCACTTTATTGTTGTTTTCTCCAGAAGCAAGACAGCACAATGAGGATTCGAATAAATGATGAAAGTTGCCAACAAATTTAGTCTTAAAGGGACTCTAAAGGGAAAGAAAAAAACCAATCTGGTCAGATTGATATATATTGTACTATGCTAGCTTTAATGCCGGTAAATCTATTACCATACATCCTTTATAGGGGAGATAATAATTATCAAAGTAGTGTTTCTAAACTTTCACACCAACATCTCCGCACGTGATGGCACGGATTTCAAAGTGTTCGTTTCGTATTTCGGCGGCATTCGCTCAGTGGAACTTCGTATGTTAGGTCTGTGGCCACCTCAGAAAACGGCGTATATTTAATTTTAGGAGCGAAGCTCCTCAGGGTGTGGGTCTGTCTTTCTTCCGATGGTGTATGTAGCCACCGGTGGCACATACCCGAAAGAGCGGTCTTTAGAATGTCCGCTGGATAACGGCACTTGTATATGATGAAAATATGTGAGATGACTGTACTTGAAGTGCTCACTGGATAGACGGACAGAGGGACGGCCGCACAAACAGACGCATGGACGGACGGATGAACAGACGGAATAACGGACGTATGGACGGACGCATGGAGGGATGCACGGACGGACGGATGCACCGATGGTCACACGGATGAACGGACGCGTGGACGGACGCACAGATAGACGCAGGGAAGGACGCATGGACAGATGGAAGCAAGAACGAACAGGCGGACGAAAGCACGGACGGACTGACGAACGCTCCGCCCCACCAATCATCATCCACTCCGTGGATATGCTGCGATTCTTTACTGATTATGAATTACGTAACACCCAGTACACGTCGTCAAAACTTATGACGTTACGGCGTACGGCGGGAGAATTACCAAGGAGTGTCACAACCCCCATTTTCTTTTAGCATCGTTTTCTCGCGGAAAGCTTGGTGATCTTGAAATTGTGAAAGAAGTAACTGATTTGAGAAAAATCGCTTGTCTAAATGGTATAAGTAGTGAGACATGCCATTATGGGCGATTTCTTTATAATTTTGATCATAGTTTCTCTATTATTTGCATAAAAATTCAATTGCATGGTTGTTTTTGAATTTAGACTGCATGGATATGCAGCATACTGAGAATCGAACCTGTGTCTTCGAGCTCAGCATTGTGACAGCTTGTCTCCCAAGCTATATACTGTGGTCTCGGATGCGGTTGAGAAGGCGTCTGCATGAGAGAACAAAATCGTAATAATAATAAGACTGTCTGGGGTTTTACGCCCCAAAACCACGATATGATTATGAGACACTGTAGGGAGGGTTCCGGAAATTTTGACTATATGGTGCTCCTTAACGTGCATTGTCATCGCACAGTATGCAAGCCCCTACCACTATACCGCCGCAGCCGGTATTGAGCCCGCGAACTTCAAGTCAGCAGCCGAGCACACTGTACCGAGCACACTGTACCGAGCACACTGTACCGAGCACACTGTACCGAGCACACTGCACCGAGAACCGAATCGCCATTCAAGCTACTGCATATACGAATCTGCACACAAAGGCAACTAAATCTGAACTAGTCAAAACTTCTATCTTTCTGGGAATATGCATTACTATAGCCCGGTGCCTTTTGTGGAGACTGGCATTCGATCCCAGCTCCAAAATGTCTGTTGAGCCCCTGGAATAGAATTAGTGTGGCAGCCTCGAACCATTTGAGATAAGATTAAATGCAGATGCAGACGTAACAGTGTTGAGCTCAAAACTATTTGCATTTTCCTTGCGGTATTGTGCGAAATTGTTTGTCTGAAAGCTAAGTGTACGTCCTCTCTTAATGAATCGATGGCCAAAAGGACTATTGAAAATGAGGAAGCCATGATACCAAAAAGATGCCTCGACGCATACAATTGTCGCTGTGATTATTTACTTGATGGAACACATTCATATTCTTAGCTTGTTAAGAACTTGCCCAGCCTTATATGCTGATACACACGTATAAATGGTTGAGGTAGAGTTTTTTTACCGTGGCAGCTCTGCGTACAAAACTATGGTAGCTTAAACGGCATCAGTACGCACATTGGAGTCATCGAGGTGTTGCCTAATTTTACACACCAGAATGTCTTGACCCTGGTGTATGCATTGTGGTCCGCTGAAAACAAAGTTATAGCTAATGGGATCACACTCAAGAATCCTTTAAATACCCACCCTGCAGAGTCATTGAGAAGAATTACATCAGACGTAATGTACTCAGACGTGCTTAATCTGCAGTACACATCTTGCAGTATAACGATTAAATGAATTATAATTTCTTGTTGGAGGTTACTTGTTAGCATTGCAATTTTTGGGATAAGGTCAGTTCCAGTTACGTCGCTTGTCTACGTGGTGTCCTAAAGAAGACACTTGCAGGCTTTCTCATCTGTTTTTGGTTCATTTTGGGGAGGACAGAGACGGTGAAAGGTTTTAAAAGATGACAAATTTTGCTCGTATCTTGTACGTTGATAACGTGAAGGCGTTTAAGGTGCCCCAGTGAAGTTTGTTGTTGTGTAGTAGTCACTCAAGATAACAAATATGCACTGTCAGCACACCTCTAATGAAAATTGAATTATGAGCTAGAAAGCTCACCTTGTGTTTCTTTTTTTTTTCTCAAAGAGCATTCGCATCAATCTCCTGTCAGTATTGCAGATCGGCTGAAAAATGACGACATGTTACGACTCTGCAACGATAGAAATCATTATGGGAAAGAGAACACTGTAAGACGATATTCCTATAGTAGAGCAGACTAACAGCGGTACATCCTGACAGCAGGACATTCCGTCAGCAGGGAAGCACGACAGCGTGCAGGACATTCGAAAACATGCACGACATTCCAACGGCAGGACGTTCCGTAATCGGTACAACACGACAGTAGCACGATTTCAGAGCATGCAGGACAACATTACAGCAAGATATTCCAACAGTACCGCAGCGCGCGCTCGCAGCATTGATGGTGACAACGGCAGAACTTCGAAGTCGACGTACGTGGCAACTCATATGGTGTTGTTATTGTTGTTTTCAATTTATCAAATCCTGGATCACGACAGCTGGTTTTCTTTTGCGGCGAACTTACCTGCAATGAAATGCGATGGTTACGATGGTTAAGATGCTGCAATAGCAAATACACGAGAACCGTTGTAAAGCCGAGGCCCGTTGCACCACAAAGGTAATATTGGAAGTAAAAACGGAATAAAGGAAGGGAAAAAAAGCAACAAGGAGAGAAGGGAGTGGGAAATCCACGCAGGACGTTTATTCTTCGATTCATCAAAGCCTCGTGCATCAAACAACCACGAAGAGGCAGCCGGGGTTAAAAGGTCAAATCCTGTAGCAGCAGCCGCAGCAGCGGAGCGTCAGAAAAAGAAAAAAACAAAGAGGCCGTAATGGAGATGTTACAGCAGGTCGTTTGGTGCAGCAATATCCGCGTGTACATATGGTAGCAGTGCCGGTCTGTCGAATGCTTGTCGGAGGTGCACTTTTCCCGTCAACACCGCGAATCAGCGGCGGGAGTGGTAATTTTCTCGGCGCAAATGTGGGCGCGCATAACGGGAGGCGGGCAGACTCGCCGTCGTATAAGTAGTCGCGCGTAGTGGCTTGTAGGGACAGGGAAACAAAAAAAAATATGGGCAAGTCACCGCGGGGCATTCAAGAAGACTGCTTTGTGCCAAGGCTGTTTTTGGCCAGTACGGCCATGTCTGAACTAACGACAGAGTGGCGTAGAGGTGTGCAGCCAACCGGAGAGGCAGTTTTGTTGTTCTCACATTGGTTAGACTTCGTAGAAGCGATAAGAAAGTAAGAAAGAAGCAGCTGATGAGCCTCCCGGGACATTTAGCTGCGATAAAGCTCGTTGCCTGGACGTAGCTTCTGCTTGAAGAGTACGAGTCACCTTCAGTGGTTAAACGGCTGTATAGTGAAAAAGTTGCAAAAACTGTCTTGCTTCGACGTGCAGAATTTGAAGAAACACGAGTACACATGCTATTGCACGTATTATTTACTTAGAAAGGAGAACGCGAACGCGTTTCGGGAGCAGTGGGCTGAGCACGTGCGCGAAACGTCATCAGCTTGAAAAAATAACAAGGGGCAAAGTTTACGGCTTACCCTTCTTCCTTCAGCATTTCGAGTCCCTTTCTGTTTGGAGCAAGGGACGCAGGAACACGTCAGCATTGTGATTATTAGCCAATACACGCCACACGTCGATACGACTTACGTATACGTATACGTATAAAACAAAAACACGCAGAGTGTGCGTACTGCGCAGCGCTCAAGCCTCTAACATGGCGGTATGCAGACGACGGCCGACAAATGGCAGCAATTTTGCAAAAGACCCATTTTTTTCTATATTTAGTTTCAAAATAGCTTTCTATATCAACTTTTTATGAAGTCGTATCCATATGCTTCACACCCCGTGCGTTAATACCTCTGTCCTAAAATAATCTGCTAGTCTGAACACTTCGTATTTGGCATACACATTTATTCGATGTTTTATTTTAATTCTGAATTTCCACTTACCTGTAGCTTCATGGGTTTCTAGATTGCACATTTCGCACTCGCTTACCCACCTCTCTTTGTCGGTGAGTGACATAAAGAAGGGAACCATTGTCATTATTATCAGTATTCGTTAAACTTTTGACGAATACCCCAGAGTGGGTAGGTGCCAATCATGCAAAGAGCATCATCATCATCATCATCATCTTCATCATCATCATCATCATCATGTACTCTTTCTTCATCAGATGTCAAGACTAGCGTGCTAATTGGACTCGTGTCTTATGATTAGGTGCTTACGTTCTGAAACATGTCTCACGAAATCCTTTTTCCTAGATCCCAAATGAACCAACCAAACCCGTCCTGGGACCCTTTCGAGCACCAGGACGAGCATCCGAGTCCGCTGTGCCTGCAAAGGGTGAGGAAGGACATTATCGACTTCATCGCACATCCACCGCCGAGGATGTTCATCGCTCCCATGGAGAGCGACATGACGGGAATGAACGTGCTCATGCTGGGTGCGCCGGACTCCCCGTACGAAGGCGGCGCCTTCCAGTTCTACCTCAAGTGCCCGCCGGACTACCCTCTCAGTCCACCCCTAGTCCGGTTCCTGAACACGGACGAGGGACGAGTTCGTTTTCACGCACACCTTTGCGCCACGGGCAAAGTCTGCCTTAAAACCCTGGGCACGCTGCCAGGACCGGGCTGGAACCCGATGCTGTCGCTGGGGGCCACACTGACCTCCATCCAATGGCTCTTAGGAGCGCACCCGCTGTACGCGTTCAGGCCGCACGCGACGCGATGCGACATCGCTTTGTACGACGTCTTCGTCCAGCACGAGACGATCCGAGTAGCCGTATGCGACCAAGTCGACGGGGCCCTCAGGGAAGACTTCCGGTGCCCGCCGACCTTCAGGAAGGTCATACTAGACTCGTTTCTCCAGATGTACAGGAAGTACGAGAACACCGTCAAGGCACGACTTCATGAGACTGGCTGGCAGCTGTGGGACCCCGTCAGTTTCAAGTACATTACAGCCCAGTACGAGACGCTGCTGGCGCGACTGCAGGACCTCCGGGACAAGGTAGAGGAGATGAAGGCCGAAGTTTTCGCCGCTGCCTACGAAGCTCCTGTGTCCGAGGCTGAACCCTAGAACTCGCAGATGGTTTCCGTGCTGTGTTACCTTCTGGAGGTTCGTGGTTTGTGTATCACGGCATCCTCGCAGGACCATCGATTCAAGTCAGTCCGGAAAATTCCCGAATGAGTATCTTGAAATATTAGCCAGCCTCCTTTCTTCAATCTATAATGCTTTGAGTGCATCAGCTGATGACGACGCGTTTATGCATGGCTGCATACACGATACAGTAGACGATTTTGTCGCTGTAGCCGTGTTGACATCAGACCAGGACAACACAGTTAATTGATTGACCCCGCTTGTGCTGACAACCTTAACAAAGTGCTTGATTGGACTTGTTGGTGCTGCATGGTAGACGAAGAGATTGCTTAAGAGCGCAAACAACAGGAGGGGACGGAAGAGACGAGCGCTCTGTTCTCGTCTCTTCTATCCCCTCCTGTCGTTTGCGCTTTTAAGTACTTTCTTCGTCTACCGTGCTGACAACCTGTCGCAGAGTAACAAATTAAATTCATGATGTAACGGTTATCCCAATGTGATCGGCATCCGTGTCCGATATAGCCAACTATATAGACATATGTATTTCACTTCGAAACAGCTTGGCATTGTGAGCAAGGCCTGAAAAATGGATGATCAGTTTTTGTTTACCTTCTAAAACAATTAGCCTGCATATACACACGCACACACGCACACAGACACACACACACACACACAGTTCTAATCTTTGGTGAATTCGCCCCACGCATACTGCCAAGTATACGATCTCTTGCCGTGGTGGTCTAGTGGATAAGGTACTCTGCTGCTGACCCGCAGGTCACGGGATCGAATGCCGGCTGCGGCGGCTGCATTTTCGGTGGAGGCGAAAATGCTGTAGGCCCATATGCTCAGATTTGGGTGCACGTTAAATAACCCCACGTGGTCGAAATTTACGGAGCCCTCCAGCGTCTCTCTCTCATGTTGTAGATAAAGTAGTCGCATAAACCTAGATACAGAATATATATGTTGAAGCCCGCGAGACATCGACAAGTCTCATAATGAAAACAAATACTCGATATGCACTCATACACAGCGTCGTGATGTAAAGATAAAACCTCCCGGGCGTGCGCTCTCCAGTAACTTCTAGCCCACGCTTCTGGTCATTCAGTGCTTTCAGAACGCGACAGGCAATTCATGTCGCTTGAGCTAGGCACCTGCATGTATCTCGATCTTCGAAACCTTTGAGAAGCATAGGAAAGACTTAGAGAAATGAGAGTTTATCGCTGTGTATGAGCTTTCAGCAGCTTGTTGTCTTTGTATACTTAATAAAAGAAGGCAACGAATGCAGAAGACAACAGTTCTATTGTACATTTTTCATGTTTTCGTTTTTACTGTAGCCTTACCATCTGTTTTGGTAAATTTTTATCAACCGGTTCGTTTCGGTACCACGCCTACTGTATTTTCAACCTAGGGTTCATAAAGTAAGCCTCTCTCAAATTTTCGTACGTTTCTCTTTCGAACGAGAGCATCCGTGCAATGTATAACGGGCAACGTAACGGTAATTTAGGCGAGATACCGTTGCTTCATCACTGCTCATTTTTAGTGGGCAGATGATTTGAGGCGCTCAAAATCTCGCATAACGCTGTTAACCGCCACCCCCTACCTCTCTCATTGGTTACATAACAAGGTGTGCTGCTGCAGAAAGAAAACCGGCGATGCCACAGTTTCCAGGACACGAATTCGATGGTCTGGCGGTTCACCGCGTTTATCACCAAGACCACCAACAGGTGGTCTCTCACTACGGCGTTATACCGGGTACAGCGTACAGACCCATGTCGTTAAGCCTCGCAAACAACTTTGACAAATCAAGCCACTGCCTCTGCACAGGCTCCAACGATGCGAATGATAACTTGAAGATGCATGACCTGATTAATCTTACTATATTTGCATTTCAATTCACTCTCTGGGGAAGTCGGTTTGCGCTGGTATAACGACTCGACTATGTCGCTTATCGTTATATTGGTTACAACGTTGCAACTTCACATAACCATTGGCCCTTTATGTCATCCCCCCTCTTACCTCCGGATGTGTAGAAGTGTATTGACAGTCTCTACCACCAGCTGCCGTACGTAACATTAATTTCACTGCACCGTGCAGCCGGTTCGATGACCCATTCGCCTCTGGTGGGGACGCGCCACCGAACGCGACAGTTTTGCGCGATGCTGATTAGGATGTCAACCCCGTTGACTCCGCCGGCGCGAACCTGTTTATGTACATACGTGTCCCTTTTATGCGGCCCATCGCAATCGCGTCCAGAGGGCTGTGGCCGTTTACGTGCGCCCCTTGATTGATGGCGCCGAATCACCCACGGCGCCTCTCCTGAAAGCTTTACGAACTGCGCACTCGTGAAGCGACGGATGTGAAACAAGCCGCTCATCGAAGAAACACTTATTGCAGCTGCTGTTGCCGCTGTTGTACGACTTAATGGACAATTGAAAAGGAAAACTCTACGCCACTGTCACAGGAACGTGAAGTAGTGAAAGGCCATGTAACGTTTCCAGTGAGGAAAAAAAAAACGTATGTCAGGGCACTGTTCTTATCCGAGTGTTTGAGGTTGAAAAACAAATCTAACAGTAGCGAAAACACTAAATACAAAAATGAAGTTTGGGAGAAAGGCGCTCTCTGCGAGAGATTTATGCGAGCCAGGTGTTTTTTACTGAAAATCACCCCGCAACTGCTACGTTCAAAGGGAGGGAATCGGTTTGCGCATCCGTGCCTCTTCCTGTCAAGACGCGAAACATTTGTTACGGGGGTTTTCACGCAACAACAGGGCCACCGCATCGGGTATAAGTGCGCGAAGAAGCGCCGTGGGAAGGGAAAGGATTGTCCAGCTGTACTCTCGTTTCGTATAGGGGTTTCTGTATGTGTGTGCTTCAGGCTGAGACACGCTCGAGATAACTTAATGCTTTTTGTACTTTCTTCGTGCAGGCAATACGTTTCCAGCTAAAAGATACCACTGTTCGGGTACCTATCACACGGTCCGCCCTGCTTCAGAAAGAAAAAGAAAGTACGCAACTTAAAAAAAATTAGGCAAGATAGAGAAAAGAAAAAGATTCAATCGGGTGCTTTCTCGGCCGCTTTCTTGTGAAAACACAGGTAAAGACGTGTGCTTCGAGTGATAAGAAAAGGGTCAATCTCCTGGGTACGTCGCCTTCATCTCTGTGAGGCCATATATTTCACACCGTATACCGAATAAAGATACAAAAAAGAAACAGAAGTAAGCTGAGAGCTCTCTCGAAAGCAAAATTAGCTGCGCTCTCTGAAGTTGCATGCAGCTATTCACCACGCCGTCATTCAGCGCCTCGCTATATCTACCTTAAACGTACCGAAAGCGTCCAGGCTATTCTTTTTGTGACTGGTCTGTGTTAATATATTTGGCAGGAGATACATTCACACGCACGTCAAACCACTTGGGGACGTGAAGATCCTTCGTACATAGCATGCTTAGGATGTTCATATTGTAAGCATGTTTCGCATCACGATGGGGTATCTTTTCACCGATCAGCACAACACTCTTTCCCGCCGTGAAGATACTCTTTCTTTTTCTTTTGCGGATTGAACGAAAATAAATACTCACAGAGTGTATTGTGTATCCACACAGAACTAAGGATGGCTTAATGCCTTTCCATTCGCGGCTTCAATTTAATCAAGTACCTACCCAAAAAAAAGCAAAATACTGCTTCGAAGATGATAGTCTCATTAAGTCAATGCTGAAAATAATGAAGAAAATGGAGCCCCTGGTCCTGTTTTCCAGTATTGGCATTCTGAACAAGACGGAATCATTGGTATCCCAGGTGGTCAAAATTTCCGGAATCCTCCACTATGGCGTCTCTCATAATCATATGGTGGTTTTGAGACGTTAAACTCCACAAATCAATCAATCAAATCATCAATGATTCGTATCAACTGACAGAACACCAGTGGAGGGCATACAAAGCGAATGACCCAAGAGCATTGTAATACTGAATAATACTGCAATCCGACGAGCAACATTTTTGTTTTAACGAGAGCTTCGCATCTTCCTTGTACATGCCACCCATTCCTAGACATTCAGGGAAGGTGATGTGTTAGGTCGAATACTGAATGCTAATGCGCGCCGTGCATATACCACCGGCGAGTTGCGGTTTCTTGCATTGTCAACGAAAGCTCGGGTGATTTAGGGATACAATTACGTTTCATGGACACATTGTTGTCCCCATGAATAAAAGCTGTAGCACGAGTAAGAGCCACGGAAGTCTTTACTGGACGAACTTCTGCCTAAAAAATGATAAGGCAAACGCCTTGCAATGCACGCTGTATACTGATAACCGCGAGCAGAGTTTTAAGCCGTCGAGTGATTTGATGATTTGAGTAAGGCATATGCTCTCGTAAATCAGCCATCGAGCCTTCCAGCGTTGTCACTGGTGCATGCTCGCGTAAGCTTACCAATAAAATTTGACTATTCGCGTCCTGCGCGTTATTGTTACACAATGATCTTAAACTATCGCAAAGCTTCTCGGACCATGGCCGGTCCGAAAAGACGAACGTGTTCATTGCGGCATCATGTGCGCCGACATTGTTGCCAATAGAGATTGTTGCTCGGTATGCGCCGAGCCCTTCTGACAGTTCTTGTGCGTGAAATCTGATTGCACCAAAATAAAATGATAAACACTTATAGCAGAATAATATCATCGGTGTTTGTTGAAGCACACACTGCAGCTCCAACATAGTACTTCCTAAATATCACATTCGAAGCGATACATATGACATGGCACTCGTTTACGGAGGCGTAGTCCTGCGATAAAAATAAAATGGGAACGACTCAATACACTACTCTGAGAGTTTTGTGGACGCTGTGTCCGAAATACTAACCTCAAAGAAGCTACAACGCGTGGCATAATGCCTTAAAAAATGAAAATGCCTATAGTGTTGAAAATACAATACAACGGAAGCTGCGGTTAGCTGTCTCTAGAGAGGCAAATATAGAATTCTAGATATCATGTTCA